AAGTGTGCTTTTATAGATATAAAATGTATTTTTACAAATGGCTGAGTTGGGTACCCTGCAGGGAGAGAAGATGATATTTTTCATTTAACTTAGGCCCAAGTCATCATTGCAATACAATCTATAAAAATAACTTGATTTAGTCCCTCACCTCACACCTTTAACAAGCAGCCTATCACCTATAGCAACACTACCAGTGCATTAGAAGAAGATAAAAATACCCCCTCCTCACTCACACCTGTTCCTCTCTCCAGTACTGCCACTTAGACACTACTGAAAACCACAAGCAGCAGTGTCATAAAAAAGAAACTGTGGTCACTGGCTACCAAATAACAACACATATGACCAACCCGTGCAATCCTCCATATTCTGGAGCTCTCCCATGCTTCTAAATTGCTGGTATAAATGCCCAGGCCAGAGGGGTAATAGTTTTTGATAATGATCCTGGGCTAAGCTTTGGTGCTGTGTGGCCACATGCCGCACAGACAGCATGCTGATTATTTCTCTGAAGTGGGCTGGATGTGTGTCCGTAATGGTAATTTCCAAGCCTGATTGGCAAAGAGCGATGAAATTGGGGGCAGTTAGCACTGAGGGGGAAATAGTGCCGGAGTGTGTGGAAATGCAGCAGCCGTCCAATGGTAAACAAATTATCTGAAGTGAAATGACAACATTAGGCAATGCAAAGTGCCGGTCCACATTATGAATATGGCTCTGATGTGCACAGTTTTTAACTATTGGATTTTTTACTACATTTGAAACAACTGGGCAGTCTTTGTCAAAGATCTCTGGCCTCACCTTTCTAAATGCAGAATATTCAAACACATCATGAATCATGATTTGAGGCACATAAACATATGCTCTAATAGACAAACAATATGTGAATCTAAGGATGTTTTTCATGTGTTTTCCTTTGAATCTTTTGTTTCTCTGAAGTAACCGGTTCAGTTTATGAAGTCTGCAGAGCCAGAAATGCCTGTTAGGAGTGCATGCAGCGTAACCCCTAATGTTGACAAATGTAGTGATTCTTTTGAAGATGTTGAAAATGTTTGAAACATGCCTTCTAATTCTTCAAAATATACTTTGCAATTGCACCATGGCCAACATTCAGGCTTTTATTTGAAGTATGAAATTGTATTGTCAAAATTTCTGTTTTTAAGAAAAGGTAATCGTTAGATAAGATGTGAATAAGCTCTTAGGAAATTTTGGACAAAAGCACAATGCTCTATTTAGCAGATCCAAGAGTTGAGGTAAAAAAAAATCACATAAAATCTCCGCTGCTGCTACTAATCTTTTCTGACATTATATGAAAACAAACTAAGTAGTTAACTTTTTTTTACCGCTCTATTCATAGTGCAGGTTTGGCTGTTGCTGAGTGAGAAAAACCCACGGGGCTGTCTGTTGTCTCTAGCGACAGACAAAAGGTGCCTGTTTCTGCTCTGTGTGCCCACACATTTACAGAACCTAACCCCTGAAGTCAAGGCCCATTTGACTCGCAGCAAATTGGCATGTCTAGACTGTTTTCCATTTTATTTTATTTATAAATTTATTTATTTAACCGAGTTCCTCGTAAAACCCCATTAGGATGCTTTATAAAGCATTATTAATGTGGATCTCCGGCTCTGTGGGCACCTGAACACAATCACCCTCCTCCCCTCCTATTACTGCCAGTGATGAAGACTAAAGCGAGGTGCTTGATTCTTAATTGCGCTTTTTCAGTTATGAAAATATTTTTCCATGAATAAGTGAGGGGACAGGCTGTCTTCGCTCTGTTGCGTGCCATGCCTGGCAGAGAATAAAGACAAGGTAGATTATGTGGCGCGTTTTTTTTTTTTGTTTTTTTTTTGCCAACGCTGTGATGCCCAGTGAAGGATAAATCTGGCAGATGTGACAGAGATTTATTTGTTGCAGAGGGGATGGATGGATGAATGAATCTAGCCACCTTGATGTAAGCCCCAGCCTTTTCTCACACATCACCCCATTTTTCTCCTGCTATGTCCCTATGAAGACACATTTGTTGCAAAACCCAGCCAGGCTTTAAATTGAATGAAGGAGGTCACTTTTTAACCGCTTAAGTGACAAGTACAAGCTGGTATTAGTTAAGTATTTGATCCCCTCCATCACCAGTGTGTTGTAATAGTCCTTTGAGGACATAGAACAGTCGAAAGTTTTAGTATTTTTTTCTTTTTTTTAGAGAGTATTTGCTTAATACAATACAGAGCTACGACCAATTGTCAAGCTCCAATTCAAGTTGAGCTTATCTGAAGTCACTTTCAAGGTCCCGTGGGTGTGGGTTTTGAGTGTTCGACCATGTTTTTTTTCTCTGACAGCCACTCTTGTTCGAGACCAGCCTTGGAGTTTGCACAAACAAAATCTAATTTGCTGGTGGTGGTTGTTGTTGATTAGTCTCCATAATTATTGTGTCATCCATTTAGTTTTATTGCTACATAACAGCCAGGATACTTCAGCTTTGAGTTAATGCTCATTTTAAAGGGTTATTGTAGCAATTTATTATCTCAGTGTAATAATGTCAAAGATTTATTTCAAGTTGCCAATGTGGGTCAAGATCCAAACGAAATGCTAGATCACCATAATACAACTTATTTATGTCATGTTTTCAACCCTCCGTATGAGATAAATGCTTATGTGTTTCAGCACAGGGTTTTTCTTAAAGGGCATCTTCACCAATTTTCAAACGACTTTCTATCAATATAAAAATGAAGGTCTTATTTTTTTCTGTGTTACCTGTCCTAGGATATATCTGTTTATCATTGAATCCAGACGTCAAAGTACAGATTGTGCGTCCTTAATTTTTGTGGGTTTGCCATTGAAAACTGAGACATCCCCATGATGAGTAAACAGATTTCACTGCACAAAATCAGCAGCACACTTTTTTAGAAGTTAAATGCTATTTACAATAGTTTCAATATAAAGCATGACCCAGAATTATCATGAAGGAATTTTTTCAACTAAAATCTGTCTCTGTGCAGTCATTCCACTAATTGTATAAAAGAGGCCGGTGATACGTGACAACATTAAGTTTTTTTCTTGAGTAGTCCAAAAAGGGAAGACAGTAGTGACTATTAAACATATAGAAAGTATGTAGGCATGTGTTCTACCAGCAGAAGAATCAATTATAGCACGGCCTGAATTGCTGGACATTCTTAGCCATGATCCCCGCTGTTTATAGTGTTTTTGTGTACGAGACAATTGATGTATTGAGCACCTCTCTATATGTTAGCATGTTTCATTTTATGCGGTAGCGGAGAACAGCCGAGATAAGCTCCTCAAGTGGGAACACAGTCAGGGCTGAACAAAGCTGTCTAGGTTTGAAGGGCAATACATATGGCGAGATAACGTCTCAACCAGCCAGCATGAACCACAATATACATCCACATTTACAAAGGATCTAGTTAGCCAGGTGTTGACTCAGAAGAAGATGAAATGCCCATTATATGCTTTGAGATACAGCACACTTTTTTTTTTTTCTTTCCAGATGTAGGTTTAGTGATAGATGTATTTTACAATGAGGCGGTGTCCATGAATGTGTGCTTCAGTGTGTGAGTGTGTGTGTGTGTGTGTGTGCATGTATGCGATACATAGACGTGTGCTACAGGGAACAGAGTGCATAAATTATGATGGAAACTTACAAGCAATCTATTTCGTGGAATTTAAGTTCAAGGCGAAAGAAAAAAAAAAAAAACGACTTTGGACTCTAATGGCATCTTCGTAATAAATTGAAATCAGTTTCTTCCCTGACGACAATCTTTCCTTTGTTTGTGGTTTGAAATCGTGAAGGATTTTCTTTGAACTGAAAGCTAAGCACACAAGGAGGCAGGACGATACCAAGATGTAAGATTTAAATGCGCTTTCACGTTCCATGAAGTCTTTGCTGTGTTTATTATTCTAATTCACTACATGGTACTCTTGTATCAGCTTTTTTATTTGCATCTGATTAAGATGAGAAAATGCGTGCGAGAGCCCATTTCAGCTTAATGGCAAAACAAGCACTGGTTTTGTACAAAATGTGTGCCTGCTTGTGTGTAATAGACGTATCAAGGAGAAAATAGGAAGTTAAGCAGATTGAGAAAAAGTTTGACTCTCTGATCCAAACAATTGAACTTAGAATGTTGGAAATAAGAAATTACCGTCTCTGTGAAGTGTGTGAGAGCAAGAAACACGTTTACACTTTTGCTGCAATTTGTGTGCTCAAAGCAGACTGGACGTGTCTGTATGAATGCATGTCAGCGTGTGTAGGCTTTAGTTTATGGGCAACCTGCCAGTATTTCTAACTACACATCAGTACCACTCTGCACCTTCAATTCTGATTCCTACCCCCCAACACACACACACACACACACACACACACACACCTCTACAGCTACCATGCCCCTCTGCATTAACACACCCTTTGCCTCTAATGGAGTTCACTGCACACTACTTTCCGCCTGAACACGCAGTAGAGGAGTGCAGCTAATAGCAGTTGCACAGTTGGAATACATGGGTGTGAGCTTGAGTTAATGTATGCTGCTAGAGCAGTGTTGGCAGACAAGATTGTGTTATCTGCTGTGGTGTGTATGGGCCCAGCCCATCTGTACGGTGACATCCTTCATAAATGAACCAAGCTGAGCTGTGATGGCTGTCTCTTAGCCTGTGCCTCAGTCCTGGTGCTGCACTGACACCTCTGATGCGTGTACAGTATCTTGTCTCTGTATCATGAATAGTAAAAGGATGTGCCACATTTGTATATCACCCTTTAGGGTTCTTTCAACATGAGTTTGACAAGAGGTTTGAGTGAAATTGGTGGAAATAGGCGTATTGTGCACTTTCCTCCCTTTTCCCTTCATTCAGCGTTTCAGAGCACTGAAAGCAGGTGTTCGTAAAACCTCTCTTATTCTTCCCTTTGATCTCGAGTTTTCTGTGCCCTCTTGTCTTAATTATGTTAAAATACCATAATGATTTAAATAGGTCACACCTCTTGTCTTCTTTCTCGTTTTGTTCTTAAGGGTTGGAAGCCATGTTTTCGCAGCAGCCACAGGACCTGGTGGTAGTTGCAGGCCAGCCTGTGACGTTACCGTGCACTATCCCCGGATACCACGGTGTTGTCCTGTGGATCAAAGACGGCCTAGCGCTAGGAGTGGGCAGAGACCTTTCTGGTAAGGAGCAGCATCTATTCCCCTGAGCATCTCTGTTTCCTCTATTAATTACACTCTGTAGTGTAACTGTCACATTCAAATAGTTGCTTTTTGTCATCTAAAGCCCCCACATGTCAACAAGCTACCCTCTGCCTAATACATCACTCCACAGACAGATAAAAGAGGTTCCATAATAGTGTGTTAAAAAGAAGAATTACATTTCAAGCATAACAATCATATCACTCAATATGACCAAACAGAATCAAAAATTCATTTCCATCTCTGTGTTATATGCAGACTTACATCTCTTCTGTTTTCAGTTTGGCAGAGGAGCACAAAAATCTAAATTAAATGCACAATCAGCGGCTGTACTGGTCTTTCTCTGGTGCTTCAGGCTGCTAAATGGCTGTTTGAAGAGTAGCTAGTGTCCTCTAATCACACTGCACCTCCTGCATAATTGTCCTAATTGTTTAATTTGGAATAAAAGTGACTACTGCACTGTCATTTAGACTGTTGTTCTACCAATCGAGATTTTATGTGTATTCATGTTCTTGATGAATTTCAAAGAAACACATTCCAACTCTAAATAAACATTTACAACCTTTAGAAGCACTTAGCTGTTAAAAAGGGAAATCCATAAAAACGTAGTATGCCTGCATCATTTATTGAAATGATCGTTAACTTTTCCCAAACCAGAGATCCATTTGGATGTGTACACCATAAATCGCTCTGCACACAGCAGGATGCATCATCCTATAAGACTACAGTTTTTATTTTAGAGCGCTCTAATTTGCTCCACACACCTCCTCTCTGTGACCACTGAGAAATCTGGACTTAATTGCAATTCAAGGCATAATGACACAATTTCCAACTGTGGCCATTTTCAAAACACAAACGTCTCTTATGATCACAAATGATTAAATATGTATTGCACTAGAGACTGGGGGTCTTCTACCCTCTGACCTTTAGCAAACGCTTATAGAGGCCTTCCCTGTTGCTGATGTGGTCTGTAATTAAACCTCAGTGGCTGACAGAGCCCCAGTGAAGCCGTCCTATTCTCTCTTCAGGTCCTTATCAGGCCCAGGGGAGGCTGAGAGGTAGCTGTAAACAATAGTCCTGCAGTCTTCAAGTCTCCTTTGGAGGAAAAAAAGGCAGACTGGGAGAGTACTTATGATTGCTAGTGATAGAATAAAAGAGAGGGGGAAAGGGTGAGAGAGAGCACGATTTTATTTTAGGTCAGATTGGAGCAGAGATGTTTATCCTCTTCTTTTTTATTGATTTAACAAGACAAGATAATCAAGATGAAATCTCATTTCAGCAATGGGAAAAGTCAGAGGAAGGAATAGAATAAGAAAAAAAAGACAATGTTGGGTCACCACACTCAAGGGAAACATAGTAGATCACCCTTTACCAGCATATCTGTGAGTAGTTCAGCAGTCATGGACCGGATGAAGTAATCCAGGCCTTCTCCACAATCATTCTGTTCTTTTTACATGGAAGAATAATCAGGGCCAAGATGCTGGCTTAAAAATGCAGAGTTTTGAATGAAGAGGAATAGCCGCCTGCCTGGAGAGAATATGTTGCTAAAATCAACAGTGTGATACGGACAGGGGCTGAGTGCCTCCTATTGAGACAGATGACACTTTTTCAAAATAAAGCGCTCCACAGCTGTCCTTTTTTATCACTCCTGCCTACCTAAACAAGTAATACATGCAGCAGTAAAAGAGTGATGGTACATCACTGCAAGATGTACACAATAAAAGGAAAGTGGCAGCTGTATACATGAAAAGTGCGACGAATCAAATGTTGCATGGAGCATTTCAATAATATAGGTCTGCTCGGCTATTCATAGAAAGAAGCTGCGTTGGCAGCGTGCTCCGCCTGGGACCTGTTTCCATTCACAGGAGCAGTGATTAAACTGAGAGAACTCTTTCACCATTCAGTGCAAGAAATCACAGCACAAAAGCCAATGATTCCTATCTGTCCCTGAATTTCCTCTCCATTCCCTTTTGTGTCACGCTTTTCCACTCTAATTAAAGAAAAGTAAAGTAGCCCCACAGCAGCTCGACATACCAATCAATGTCATGAATATGCATGACATAGAATGTATCTGCTTCACATGATGACGGGGACAATAGACAAAGCAGTTATAAGTGAATTCTTTCAGTGTGCACACAGAGCAGGATGGAGAGGGACATGCACATATACTTTTATGCCATACACTTATAGATATAGGAGAATGAGCTCTTGAGGAGCAAGAATGACAGCAGAGCTTTAGAAGCCAGCGTGTGTCACTCCTGCCTCTCATGAGAGCAAATTGAACACCAGTCACCTGTTCATGGCTGCCGCAAACCTGTTTCTATCCCCTGGTGGATACACTGTGTGAAACGTGTTCTAGGTGAATGCTATAAATCATTAAGCCACGCCTCAAGTGTCTGTGTAGTCAAACACACACACACATGCGCACGCACGCGCATGCACGCACACACATTCACGTACACCATTGATTCAGCCTCAAGACAAATCCATTCCCCCCTGATGGATTCATTACTCCTTAATGGGCCTATTTTACATTGTTTGCTTTGGGTAACACATTGTGTCTTTGAAATTCGCTGAGATCTAAGATCAATGGCCCTTTACAGGTACACATCACATGTGCCGAGGTGATCAGTCTTCATGTGCACCAGTATAATTTCAATCATATTGACAGAATGCATGATCAAGGTGCTTATAAGGTGACAAAACACATTACAGTTTATATTCTTTGAAAATGAGATTATAACATTCTTATCATTTACTATCCACCACAAATGCAAATGACTTTTCCTCTTGGATCCAACTAATGCACGGAGATGAAACTGGAACAGAGCCACGTCCTCACACAGCAAAATTATTCTTAGTTTGCCAGAGGCACAGATGAGGTAACTGGCAAGATCATCTGTTTGTGTAACACAAATTTACAAGGCTTATACCTTGCTACAATTAAGACAAGCAAAACAACGTGCATGCAGAGTACATCCTGCTTTTGGGGCAGGTACAGCTAAGCACCAGCTAAGTAGGCTGGAGTCAACTCAAGGTCACATCAGTCAGATTTGTGCAATGATCATTACCCTTGTGATCTGCAAAGACATTATTGCTTTGAATCTCATCAATGAACATAAAACCGAAGCAAAATGGTTCTGCGGGTGACCTTGTGCACATTATAGTGCGTCCTCTATTTTAGGCATTATTCTGAGCATGAAAAAGCAGAAAGCTCCTTTTAAGTCGATGGTTATTAATGCTATTAATGGACACTATTTAATGTGATCAGATCTCTGTTAACCTTATTGCATTTACAATCTATTTTACCACAGACCCACTATTCTTTCATGTCAGACACACACTAGAAAAAAAAAAAAAGGAGAAATTTTATCACCTCTGTGACAAGTTTCCCCACAAAACATTGTCTTGGGAATCTTCCATCTTTGTTCATTTTAGTTAGCTTGCAACTTATTTGGCAGTCCGTTGTTTATCTTTTGCCCAGCTTTAATTTTTATGTTTAGCCATTTTTTTTGTCCTGCGTCCTCCTACTGTATGGACCCTTAAGATTAAAGGCTACACGTAGGAGGATGAAATGCAGAAAGTGGCTTAATCGGCTGTAACTCACCCCACCAGCATATAATGAGGCCCACTTCATGCTCTATTAAAGGCTACTGGATTCAATGAAGCAACATTCAGTAATTGGACTTTGAGCATACCATGGGTTTTTGCACCAATTCAAGGACTTAAAAGCTGTTATGAGGCTGCCCAGTCTGTTCTGTTCCATTTGGGTGCTAAAACATATAATAGGACTGTAAATCCTTTACAGTGAAAGACTTAAGTTTTTTGGGGATCTCTGAAGTGACTATGAGTCATTGGCTGGCTGTTACTCACCAATGTTTGTCGGCAATAACCCAACAGTTGGATGGGCACTGAACGACTTTTTTTGAAAAGGAAATGGCAAGTGTGAGTCTAAAGCGTGACGCTTTCTTTTACAAAGCTCAAAGCTGGAGTGAGGCTTTGTTAAAAGTCTGGCCTTGTTCTCTTGTAAAATTCTCCAATCCAGTCCTCCAGTTTCATCATCGATCAATTACATAAGGACCACTGGAGGAAAAAAGCAATTCTCAGCTGAAAATCCTTCACATTTTTTATTTATCTTTTTTTTTTTTTGGAACATTTTTTTTTATGAACAGACATTCTGTTTCCAGTTCACATACTGTATCCACAATAATTACAAACATAGAGCAAGCGAAAAAAGAAAAGGGATCTTCAGAGATGAGCAATTCCAAAAGCCTCGGAAATATCCCATAAAGTTTTAAAGTTAAACACATTCTTCTTCTTGCTTATTTGCCCCCATGGAGGGATAGACTCCACAACACACGTGCAATGCATATTTCGATTATAGTTTAGGGGATATCTTTAAAACCATCTCGCTTGACTTGTGTAAAATACCCAGGTCTCCTGGATATTGCTCTGCTGTCTTGCATTATTAAACTATAAATCATTTCACAGAGCGATGTTGAAACAAGTCAAACTCGAGCTGCTCCATTTTACGATTGCTGTAAAACACCATTCTCTAGAATACAGCAACCTCCAAAGCAGCTCATTAACATTGCCAGGAGTGTTATAAAAGCAGGTATGAAAATGTATTGTGAGTAAATTAACAAACGAACAATCAGGCTGCGTTCACCAATTAAGTAAATCTCTATTAAAGTTATCTGCTTTTGCAACTCAGTTAAAAGTAACATGCTTATGTGCTTTATTGTTGTTCCTGGTAGTAAAAAAAAAAACTTTAAAATGCAAATTTTCCTTCTTGGCTTTGGAAAATGAGCAGTATTTGATTTTGAAGGTGATTTAAAATTAACAAATGTGTTTGTGCTGCAGGCTATCCTCGTTACACAGTGATTGGCGACCACGGATCAGGAGAGCATCATTTGCGAATCCAGCGTGTCGAGCTGATGGATGATGCTGTGTTTGAGTGCCAGGCCGTCCAGGCTGCCATGAGGTCCCGTCCGGCCCGGCTCACTGTGCTAGGTAAGTCAGAACCAAGCACACAGACACACTCCAAACAATAACCTTACCAGTGCCAACCCAACTGATGGAAGGCACAGGCATCACTGGCTTCTCACTCTGTCATTGTTTCTTTTTTTTTTTTTAGCCTCTCAGGCTGGTTTTGAAGAGAGGATTTAATATGCACAATGGCAAAAATTACAAGAACTGTGTAATATATTACCTGCTTTATAAGAAGATAATTAGTTCATATTCTCCACATTTCACTATGCTGAACTGAAACTGACACTATTGAACCTAAACCTCTTAACTCTTGGCCCTAACAAGTTGATGCTTTGCAACCATACCAGTATACAGTTTGTCTGTGTTCAGTTTCTAGCTACAAAGCAAGTCTAAGCTACACACATGAACGCAGGTATTCACATGCAGTCTAATCCAAAACATGATGAAATATCCACGCTGAGTCCTGAGAACAAAAGATGTACTCCTATTTAAACCATGTGAAAGGAATTAAATCAGTGATAATGTTTCCCATTTGGTAGACAGCGTCAATATGATTGAACTTTTAGAGACCCCTACATTTCCACTCTAATTTCCTTCCTCTGCATGCAGCCTCCATTTTCATTATTACCATAAGCTTGAGAGGTTACAGGCTCTTAATTAAACTTTATTGGGTTATCATTCAGTGTTGCCATTTCTGTCTTATTGCCTAGCACTCGTCCCACCTCTGGCATGTGTGTCTTTCTCGAGCCTTCATGCTCTCTGCTGCCTCACGGCCTCCCTCACTGGACCGTTGCTGAAGAGATAGCTGGAGACCATGACAGAGCAAAAGAGGACAAGAGAAGGAATGAGTAAAAGGAAAAGGGGAGAGAGAGAGAGAGAGTGGGGTGTCTGCCACGCAGTCCTCAACACCAGCGACCGATCCGCCTTATTGATCCAGCCTAATGAAAAGTGAAACTAACGATTTGTAAGGGAGAAGGCAGAAAGAGAAAAAGAGAGAGGGGAAGACAAATTGCAGCATAACGTTTCTCTGGCTGCCAAGCCCCTGCAAATGGATATAAGTGAATAATTATGGATACTTCTACGGGGAGCTAAAAATGTCTGTTGTGACTGCACTTTCCTATCTTCTACCGCTGTCCTCCTTACTCTACATGTTGGAATCATTTAAAGTTTAGCTGCTGCAGCTTTTCTTAGAAACTTTGACGTGTGATCAGAGTGGCGAGGACAGGAGTGGGGGAAAGAGGACTAGCAAAGATCCCTACATGCTACAAGGTCATTGTTGATGAATTTGATCAATTCAGCTGTTAAGCTACATTCACATAATGCGTTTCAGCTTTCGACACTTTATGCTACTTACTTTATCCTTCTCAGTGGCCTTGGCATAACTTCATGGGTATAAAAGTTCCATTTCATGTGAAAGCATAACAATGCAGGAGCTCCCATAAACAGTGGGTGCAAATATATATATATATATATATATATATATATATATATATATATATAGGCATTCAGTTTTTTCTTTAATCCCCACTCTACACTGTGATTTTCTTTTCATTTGGCAAAACCTACACTGACAACTCCAAGTAATTAAAACAACGGAACACTATTTGTAAGTGCTTGGCTTTGGACTGCAAACAAGATACAGCAGTGCGAAGTGAAAAAGTTGGCCCAACTGTATTTATATAACTAATCAGCACTGAGAAAGGGAAAGCCTTTATTACCTATTTGGCGTATTGTGGGTGAGAGAGTTTATCATTCCTCCCCATAAGCCCAAATAGAAGGTGTTTGTTTAATCCCCTGCCAAGCTAGCTGACTTCTGAATGCACTGCCAGGGAGAACTCCAGGCTGACGTACACACAAGGTAATGGAGGAAATATATGCAAGGCCTGTGTCACTGCAAACTCCAAGCTGTCAATTACTTGCCAGTGGTGACAGAGTGTGTCTATCGACTTGGAAGACAGCTGCGGCCACACACACCTATGTGCTCACGCAGACACGAATGCATAGGCCTATACACGGTGTGCTTCAACACACACCCACACCCACCAGTGCACACACACACACACACGGTCTGCCTTCTCGTGAACTGACAGCAGAATAAATCTAAAACTCTCTCCTCAATCTTTCATAACTCAATATCAGCCCAAATTCCTCCGTGTGCCAAATCAGAGGAACCTCTCTTCTCTTGACTTTGATGAGCTTGAAAATAACACAACCGAAATGTTTACTCACCTCATGGCCGAAGAAGAACAATTGTTTGTTTTCTTTTTTCTTTTTCTTTTTTTGGTTCTTAATGATTTTATGTTTGTCCTTGAAAGACACCGAATATACAACAGCGGTGACCTCAACTAACCTGCCCTTTTACAAGAAAATACAGCAAAAGCTTTTGTTTCACTGCCAATACCTAAAGACAAAAGGAAGTAGGTAAAGAAAAAAAAACAAACATCACATCAACCACATCAACATTTACAAACAGCAATGAAGCTCCTACATCAAAAAGCACAGAGAAATAAATAGACGTTGAACTTAACCCATCCGAGCGTTTGCATGGCTTGCAGGCTTACCCTCAGATGCCAAATGAGAATCAAGGTCTTGTGAATTAGTCATGAAGGAAGAGAATGGAGGGTTTCAGGTCCAAAAAAGACCCCTGAGGCTAATTATATCCCTTGCAGCAAGTTGGCACCTCTCCAGACCTTTGCTCTAATCTTTCTACCTTAGGTTGGGGACCACTAGAATGAAGTGAAGAAGGATTGCTGTTGTTTGATTAAGGTCTTTGGCTGAAAAAAGAAACTCATCTAAGGTATTCTGTTTTTTTGTAAATCTGCAGTGCCAATAATTTCTTTGATTATCCAGTTCTCTTCATTTAAAACACTGTCTCAAAAGGATAAACAAATAATTTGCAAACTACTGCAGAGAGCCTTGTACATCTCTGTTCACTGAAGTTTTAAAATTGCCCATTAGTTATTTACCAAAGATAAGCTTAAAAGACAACAGTGTTTGCCCGGTATGACCAATATCATTAATTTATTCTGTATTCTTCTCGAGTCATTAATTAGAGTTGAACTGCTACTCTAAGAAAAAAAAAAAAAGGTTCTTAAATGGTTCTTGAGAAGGCTCTCTGGTTCTTCAAAGTAGCATCACTAGTTGAAGGACCTCTTTATTCGCAGATGATTCTTCACATATGTGGTACTTATGTTTAAATATTTGGTTTGGTGGCAGGTAGCAGCCATAAACTGAGCTACAACTAAAATACTAATACATTATACACTAAACTACTATCTTGTACTGCATCTTGTATTGTGTTTATCTGTTTGAACAACAGTCCAGAACCCAAAATATTAAATGCATTATAACGGAAGGGACCCAGAAATGCTACACATTCTTAAATCTGACTTTTTTTTTTCTTAAATAAAATATAAAATAGAAGAAAGTGTTGCCTTAAAGAATTCATTGTTGCTGAAGTTCATTGGGGCGCCATTGGAAGAACTATCGAAAAATGGTTGCTTGAGACACCTATGGGGGTTCTTTACAGAACTTCTCACACAAAGTGTCTTTGTAAAGCTAAAAATGCTTCTCTTATGGTATCACTGCACTTGTTTCAGTTCGCACATTTATTTGTATTTTACTTTTTGTTTATTTGTCCTTAACTGTTGTTATGATAATGTCTTTTACTGTTCTGTTTCTGTATGCACAATGCAAGGTCATTGTGGTAGTATTGCAGACTGTATAGATTAGGCCAAAGCTGGGAAATGCTTTAAACTGAGAAAATACACCACTGTCAGGTGCAGTAAAAACATTCATAGGGTAATTGTTCTGCAAACATTCAACATATTATCATTTATTATATTTGCAGGTACAGTCACATAGATTATGCAAAACATATTATAGATGCCATAATCCAAACATGACCAATGTACTTATGTATTGTCCCAATTATGGGGCAATTCTGAGGACTGTGCACATGTGTAGATATTTAATTATACAGTTTAAATGGATTTTGTATTTAAAAAAAATAAATAAATAAAAAATACCAGTAGCAATTGTTATGCGTGTGGAGTTGTGTAGGAATGTAATTGTAGATTTTGCCCTTTTTCTTCTTCATATGTTCGTGCTGTTGTGTGATAACAATCTCTCCAGCACAGCAGTCTGTTAACTTTACATTTGATTTGAACCCACATATGGTTCATTCAATTATTAAAATGAGATATATGTGCAGTTGTAGAAGGGATGAAACTCAAAGACCTTCCACAAGATCTTTGAAAATGAAAAGCATTCATAAACACAATATGTTGCTGGTCGTCTGTCAAACATAATTGATAGCATGCCATTTGAATGAACCATTGTGTGCGAGATATTTGTTTTCCCTTTTCTGCATTGTTAATGTTTTGGACCCACGCTTCAGCAACAATATTCATGTACACAAAAGCCCAAGGGTATCTTTTGTTATTGTTGTTTCCAACTGCCAAAGCTGAATCAGCCATTTCTGTGGATAAGTCTGAATTCATTATTTCTCAAGGATCACACTGCCATCTTTTTAGTAATGGAAATGAACTTTGAGGGCAGGGTACAAAAAAAAAAAAAAAAAGTTACTGAAGAATTAGAAGTTTTCATGCAGAAAAGAGACTATTCTGCACAGAAACTACTGTCCGGGGTGCCTTTTTAAACTGTACGATAACTATGGAGGGCTATTAGTGAGTTTGTTAAAGGAGTGATGTTAGATTTGTTCATGATATGCCGCAAAGAATCGAGAATATTGTTCCCAAGTACTCATGTGTTTTCTTTATTTCATCTTGTAAGGTATTACAAATCAACCTTATCCATATCCGTCTTACTGAGTGGTGCTGTTGAAAATGCATGTGAGAGCCAGATTTTAAGAAACTCTTATTAAATTTCGCAGCCTCCCGTGTAAGTAACCAATTTGTCTCTTACAAAAGTTAATTTAAGTCTAGCCAAGCATCTCAGTGGTATAAGGAAGAGATAAGGTGTCCTAAACGGCAGTCATTCTGGGGGAAAATCTGACTGTA